AAAATGGAATTGATAGAAACTGCAAAACACAACTTTTACAGCATACCTCTAACAAACATTATTATACAGATGTAAAGCAATGTCTATACAACCCAAAGAACAAAAAAAATCCATTTATTATAAGCCCAAAAGTAGAGGCATGTTACTTGAGTTTTGGAGTTAAAAAAAAAAAAGGAAAAGAAAGGCCCATAAATTCACATCTGCAAACACTACCACGTGTTAATGTACAATACACATGTCCAACATCTAAAAGATTTCATCGGACGGTCACAATCAAGTCAACGCGATCGAACGGTTTACACTGAGTATGAGAGTGTATAAAAGCCTTTTTGTCACCGAAAATGTAGGGTTTTACTCATTTTTCTGAGCCAGCCTTTTCTCTCTTCTTCAACAGCACAAGTTTGCACTCATCGCAATTCATATTGGTTCTTTCGAAAATCCGAACAGGAAACATATTTTTTCTTTTTTTTTTTTGAATCGGAGTAAGAAAAGTGTTTATATTTCAGATCTATTTCAGATCCGACAAAATAAAATGCTTTTGTTTCAGATTGGACACAAAAGATGGTATTAGCAGCAGCCATCGATTCAAAGTGAGGATGTTGGAGCCACAAAAATGGCTATGTACGTTCCAAAATATGTGCAATTGCTGTTATTCAATATTTAATGGCGTGAAAAAAAGATTTTCATTATTGTACCGAAATCCAAAAAATCACTATGTATGTTCCAAATTATTTGCAATTGTTGTTTAATTAATGGCGTGAAAAAAGGATTATTATTCCATTCCATATTTAATCGGGCAGTAATTAATAGTGATTTTATGAAATTATGTTAAATTACTATTTATAGGCAGTAATTAATGTTTTTGGCGGGAATTAGTTTCTAAAAATTAATTAAGTTAATTCTTATTATATATTAATAGATTAGGGCACATGTTAATATATATGCATCGCTTATGTGACATGCACACATTGATGGTGTTAATATATCTATATATATTAAAAGCCAATTTATTTACCAAAAATAGTAGCAAGAAAAGTCAACACACATTTAATGCAAACCTTATTTGGAAATTTTTTACTATATGTATTAAATGCTTGCATATTTACATTTATTATCCAGATATGATCTTAAGATTTTTTCCTTAAATAATTTATGCAATGATTTTACTGATATCCATTATAATTAATATTTGTCGAGTAATATTTTTTAACCTTTATTTAATTATATAAAACTAATATTTTTTTTAAAAAAATAATATTATTTATCAATTTAAAAGATAATGATCACATCATTAAATGATTTTATTGATGGTTAGATAATAAAATTATATTAGTTATTCTTTAAAATTTCGACATGTTATTTATTTGTATATTATTGTCAACTATGATAGTGTTTTTATCACTTTTTTCTGTTATGTTTAAAAAATGAACTTATTGTAAAATATTTTTCTATTGCATAGTATGTTAAATAAATTATAAAGCCTTCTGATTAAAATTAGAAAAAATCTCTTGATTATGTAAGGGATTTATTTTTTGGCAATTGCTAAATAATTTTTTTTTAAAAAAAAGACTTATTATGAGAAAATTGAATTCTAAAAAACATGTGTGTGTATTTTGTAAACATTTATACTCAAAATTTTATTTTGAATTTCATTACATAAAGAAGACTACTTCTATAACTTTTATAAATAATAATAATGACATTATATGACTATAAATTTTATAATAAAATAATAATTGAGTATTATATGGTGAACGTGAATAAATAAAATTTTTATTTTTTCTTATATCAATGAATAAATATGTATTCTAAAATCAAATAAATATTAGTACGACGTGTTAGCGGAATTATATATTAATTAACATGTTAATTTTTTGGCTTAAATAAACGCCACTTATGAAAAGATGTGAAATATAGATAATCCAAGCCTATTGTTTTTTTTCTCTAGACGTACAAGTCCTATAGAAATAATTAATTTATTATATGTATCACGTGCATCGCACGGGGATGCACTAGTTAAAAAATACATCACCAATGTGTGCATGCCACATAAATGGTGGCATATTAACATGTGCCCACCGTAGGTCGGGGAACATTACTAGTCGCAACTATTCTTATTTGCGTCACTTTAGATTACAGATGCATCGATGAGACTAGGAAAGAGAGAACATGATGTTAGGAAATATTTAATTTCCTATTTATATTATATACAATTATATTAGTTATTCAATTAATTAATAGACTCAATTAAGTGATCTAAATAAAGTAAGTCAAGTGATCTAAATAAAGTAGAGTCTATAGGCTACATAAATTGATATGGGCTTATTGAGTGGATACCTAATATTACTAGAGTTAGGTGATAATGGGTGGCCTACTTTAGTAGTATATAAAGACCCGTTATGGTCTCCACCGCA